CACAGCACCGGGGAGAGGACGGGGTCAGATGCGTGCCCGACCCCGACCCCGGATTAGACCCTGTTCCGTCCTGGCCCTGTGACGTCCAGGGTCACCCTCTGCGGACGGGCGTGGTCCCAGCTGCCGGGGTCCCGCCCTCCGTTCCTGCGTTTGGTCTGTGTGCCTGCGTCACCACCTGAACTTGGTTTGTAAAATAACTGGACCCGGGAGTTACTCAGGCAAAGCCACAGAAAGCAGAAATCAAGCACCGGGCAGCAGGACGTAAACTCGACGTAGTCAAGAAGTTGACGTCTGGGCGGCGGTTTTCAGATCTCTCGCTAAACCTCAGTCCCTGAGTCCAGTTCCCAGGTGGGACTGGACGACAGCGCTCGGGCCTGCTCTCCCCGGTCCCCCTGGAGGCTGGGAGGCTGGCCTTGAAGGCCAGCCGAGGCCGTGGCCTCCATCCCTCTCCTCCCACTCTGTGTACCGGCGTCCGACCCTGCCAAACCCCAGTGTGGCCCCGCCGATGAGTCGGTGGCAGGTAGGGTGATACCTGTGGCCACCTTGTCCCTCCTCCTCTCCTGGGTCACTGCTGGACGGCAGAGGCGAGGGAATCCAGACCCAACCCATCGCCCAGCTTTGCCTGATCCCGACCTTCCCCTCCTGTCCTGCGGGCCCTGCCCCTTTCCGCGGCCGGGACCAGGGCTCTCACCCAAACCAGGACGCTTCTGAGATTTCCCGGGCCCTGTGATGGGAAGGATGAACCTCTGAATCATTCACTGGCTGGCAATTGCCTTTATGATGTCACCAATTCAAAAGCAAAGACAGCCAAACATCGTGCTCATGACATTCTCTCTGAACAGCACGTTGGGCAGGAAAACAATGATGTTTCTATCCGAGTGTGGAAAGTGACACTGACGCCCCCTCGGCCCTCGGCCACACGGTCCCCTGCCCACGGTCCTTCCTGGTGCAGGACCCGCCCTGCTCGCTGCCAGCCCCGCCTCCTCTACTGGCCACTGGTCTTCGTCGTTTTCTATTCGATCCTCACTCGGGACATGTTGTTTTTGTGTTTCTTTTCTTTTTTAAAAAATATGTTTTTATTGATTTCAGAGAGGAAGGGAGAGAAAGAGGGAGATGGAAACATCAAGGATGAGAGAGAATCCTGGACCGGCTGCCTCCTGCACACCCCACATGGGGATCGACCCCGCAACCCAGGCATGTGCCCTGACTAGGAATTGAACCGTGACCTCCTGGTTCAGAGGTCAACGTTCAGCCACTTGAGCCATGCTGGCCAGGCCAAGGATATGTTTTAATTGATTATATAGAGAGGGAGGGAGCGAGAGAGAGAAACATTAATCAGCTGCCTCCTGTACACACCTTGACAGTAATCGAACCCATAACCCAGGCATAGGCCCTGACTGGGATTTGAACAAGCCACCAATGATGTATAGGGCGACCCTCCAGTCAACGGAGCCACCCGGCCGGGGCTCGGCCACTAAGCTTTTGATTGCGGAAGTGTTTTCTCTGTCGGGTTGAGGTAAGCTCAGAGTAAATGCTGTTAAAGGGAATCTTTTTGGTTCAATTTTTTTTTATACTGAAATGTCTAAATATAAGAGACCAAATATTTTCACAGTGATTTTCATTTAGAGTTTCCTTTATGATAGATATTTTTTCAAGGTAAAACTTGTCAGATAAGTTGTCTGTAATTATGATTCTTTTGACCATGCTGTCCAACACAGCTTCTGCAAAACCAGACTTCTCAACCCCACTCCATTCCAGCTCTGACTATAATTTCATTAATTAAAGTTAGGAGAGCCTGGCTGGCATGGCTCAGTGGTTGAGCATCGACCTATGAACCAGGAAGTCACGTTTCAATTCTCGGTCAGGGCACAGGCCTGGGTTGCAGGCTCAATCCCCAGTGTGGGGCGTGCAGGAGGCAGCCGATCCATGATTCTCTCTCATCACTAATGATTCTCTCTCTCTCTCTCTTTCTTTCTCTCCCTTCCTCTCTGAAATCAATAAAAATATCTATAATAATAAAAGCGTAATATGCTAATTAGACCAGATGTCCTTCTAGATGAAGCCGAGGCTTCGAGGAAAGCCCAGGTCCCAGGTGCCAGAGGGAAGCCGGTGCTGGCAGCCGGGGAAGGAAGGCCTGCTCCTGCATGAATTTTGTGTATCGGGCCTCTAGTGTTTTAATAAAAGGTAGGAGATATGCCAAGAACTACTGACATAGTTGAACCACAGTTGAACTTCCAGAGTTTAATGAAAGAACGCCCCGTTAAACCCTCAATTTCATTCCAATTCTCATTATGTAATTTGCTCAGTCCCTCTGCTTCTTGTTTTAAAGCTTTGTTTTGTTTTTAAAGAAGGT